TTGTAATGATTCTCTAAAATGTTAAGGTAGGATCACTAGGGTCTAGCTGGATGTCATGGAAACTTACCTAAACCATATGGTGGTGTTTGTAATCGTTCTGTAAAGTGTTAACCAGCTAGACCCTAGTGATCCTACCAGGTAAGTTTCTATGACACACCATATGGTTTGGTGTTTATAATGTTCTGTTTTAACGTTCCAAATTACTATGTTATTTATTGATTTTGCTGCACTTAATCAAAACTGACCTCTGATTGAAATTTTCTAAGTTTTCATAGTGACAGACTTTTGCAGAAGTGTATTGAAACGTATTTTTTTAATGCACAAACAACCCTGAATTACAACATTCCATGTTTCAGCAGTATTTAAATGTTAAGATCAAGGTGACTTGCCACACATATGATAACATCCATGTAAGGGTAAAATGCTCCTTTTTTGTGATGAAGGCAGTAAATTACTATCAAAACATGGTAAGGTGAATTAAGGTTTATGTTAGAGAAATAGTTTTATGTGTTTCATTGACCTATATGATATTAGTAGATAATATTCTATATACTTAAGCTACTCATAATATTATGTTGTTATTTTATATATCCTTGAGATGCTTAATATGTTGTTATTAATGTCCTAAAATCTAGCCTGATTTAACCTTATGATGTCAGCATATTTATTTCGAAATCTAAAATTTGAAACTACAATGGAAACATAAATAGACATTTATATGGTAAAGTTTTGAACCTTTCCTTTTCTATCCTGTTTCAGTCATGAATAGTACAATTATGACTAATAACTATTCAACTTGTTTAAGACATACAATTTTGATCCTCTCTTTTTCTATCCTGTTTCAGTCAGTGATATTACTCAGTGACTTGCTCGTGAATTGCCCTTATTCTCAGTTGTCAATAACTATCAGAAAGTATGCCTGATTTCTTGCTGTGAGTTATTTGGCAGATTAAATGACTTCAGCATTGAAATGAATGGAACACAAAAAGCCACTATCTAGTTTTAGATTTTAAACATGTTTATAAGATCAGTTGAGTAGGAATATCCCTTATATGACAGAATACTCCCTGAAACAATTATATAGAACCTTGTTACATGAAGAAATACTTGAAGAAATCTCCTTCTGATGCGTAATATTTACTCCTGAGACAATGAAACAAGACGTTGTCACACAGGCTAGTGTCACAGAATAAGAATATTCACATAAGATGTTGAAATAAACAGATGTTACATTAGAAAATGCCATACTGACCTCCCTTCTGAGGTGTAATATATAACTAAATAATGATACAAAATGTCCACCATTTTGTTTCCACGCCTTTCAAAGAACATTCTTTACATAGAGTTTCAAAGAACCAGTTTACACGTTCCTCAGTCTCAGATAATATTTATACTTTATTCTTCCCATCCATAAAATGTTTATACTGTATCGTCCCAGAATTTCAAAGAAGTACACTGCATCAGAAAAGGTTTCCGTTGTACTTAGAGTTTCAGTGAAGGTTTACATTTTATTTAGTTTCAGAGAAGATTTATACTATATATAGTTTTAAAGAACGTTTCCACTTTATTTAGTTTTAGAGAACCTTTACACTGAATTTAGAGTTTCAGAAAAGGTTTTCCTGTACTCAGATATTTGGAGTACGTTTGCCTTGTGTTAATCAGAATTTGGGAGAACATATGCTTCATACTGGGAGCGATGGAGAATGTTTACACTTTACTCAGAAAATATACTAATTATATCCGTTCTGTTAACAGGTTGTTTATAAAGTTATATATCAAAATGTGCTCCAAGTTAACACTTATTTTTGGTTTCTTCATCATAAATTCTCGTGTAATCTTTAACAAAGTGTTTTTTGTTTTGTTTTTTTAGTGATCTTGTGTGGGACACACTGAACCGGGTATTGGATAAAACTCTCAGTTCACCCAAAGCACCTATGTTAACTTTACTACATGACCAGTCATTTGTTCGCAAAAAGTCTCGGGGTACCCAGACCAAAATTAGTTATAAGAAACCCCACTTCTACCAAACCCAAAACAACTTAATATCTGCTGTGTCGGGTGACTCTAGAGCGTATACGTCACGTACTAACTCCGCCAGGAGCACTGGAAACCCAAATAGTACAAGTTGCAGCTCTAGTGACTCCACAGACGAAGTATTTACTGAAAATACAGACCATAAGTATATCAAAAAGAAGACCCATCTGACAAGTCCACTCCTTGGCTTTTTGACCATTTCCAAATCGCACAAATCATCAAGCCAGAAACAACCTTCTGTTAATGCCTCATCACAAACTGAGAAAAGACAAGTGCAAGAGACAACAAACACGACTGACTCAGCTCCTTTCACATCAGTATCAGGAATAAATCAAGGAATGAATGAACCATCTTCACGAGATCTGAGTGGAGATACACTATCACAATCAGTGATGAGCGATTCTTTATCATCATCTCCACCGACCCCATCACCACTTCTTTCTACAACAAGAACAACTCGACCTCCCCCTCCCCCTCCACCACCACCACCTATTCCTCCGTCGGTAACAACTGGTCCTCCTCCACCACCACCTATTCCTTCTTCAGGAACAAGTAGTCTTCCTCCTCCACCACCACCATTACCAGGAATGAGCAGTGCCCCTCCACCACCACCATTACCAGGAATGAGCAGTGCCCCTCCACCACCACCACTACCAGGAATGAGCAGTGCCCCTCCACCACCACCACTACCAGGAATGAGCAGTGCCCCTCCACCACCACCACCACTACCAGGAATGAAGAGTGCCCCTCCACCACCACCTCCTCCGGGTATCTTACCAAGAGTACTACCATCTTTCTCCAAACAAAATGTGCCACCGTACCTCCTTCCTGGATCATCGCACACGTTTCCAAAACCCAAACACAAGATGAAAACCTTGAACTGGTCTAAGATTCCAAATGGTCTTATTTCCCGTAAGTTGTATGTATTTTAAACAAAAGAATCTCCACCTATTTAATCATGGTGAAAACTAAGTTATTTAGCAATATAAGAGATATTTTTACGTATATTTTGGGGTAAAAGTTTCATAACATGTAACCATTGATATCACCTGCAAGGGTGAAAGTCTGTTTAAGACTGAATATTTATAAAATTATTATCGCAGAACATTAGTTTTTAACTCGTGATAACTTTTGACTTGTGTTTTAGAATGCAAAATAAAATTTGATTTCCAATTAATAAACAACCTGACCGCTTAGTTTTTTCGATAAAACTGTTTTTAGTGATGAGATTGAAAGTGACTTGTTCAAATTAAAACTTATAAAACGAAATCAAGAAGACTGAAGATACCACACTTTCAAGTCAGACAAGTCTAAATGTGGTATTCCAGATTCCTTAGATTACCTGCATCAATGATAATTCCATTAAACATTATCAGGGATATAATTCTCAACTCAGAGTAACTTGTACACATTTCTGTACCATGTTATTAGAGTTTGTTTCTGCTTCCACATGGATCTCTCTAAATGGTCAATACAACCTACTACTGAAGTTAGCTTCTCCTACATAGATCTCACCACGTGATTCACACAACTTGCCATTAAAGTTGTCTTCTTGTTCAACATGGATCTCCCCAAGTGGTGTAAATAATTTCTATTAAAGTTAGATCATTGTTTCACGTCGTTCTCTTCAGGTAATCCAAACAACTTGACATTTAAGTTAGATTCTTGTTCAACATGGATTTCCCCAGGTGATCCAAACATCTTGTTATTAAAGATAATCCTTCTTACACCTAAATTGTTCCAGATGATCCATACAACTTGCTGTTATGTCATCTTCTTATTCCACATGTATCTCCTTAGGTGATCCAAACAACTTGTTATGGAAGATAATTATTGTTACACATAGAACTCTTCAGGTTATTCAAACAAATTACTACCAAGTTGTTTTCTTATTCCACATGAATCTCACCAGGTGAGCCAAAACAACTTGCTATTAACATTAGCTTCTTGTCACATATGGATCTCCCCAGATGGTTTAAACAACTTGTCATTAAAGTTAGATTCTTGTTTCACATGGATCTCCTCAGGTGATCCAAACATCTTGCTATTGACATTAGCTTCTTGTCACACATGGATCTCCCCAGATGGTCTAAACAACTTGTCATTAAAGTTAGATTCTTGTTTCACATGGATCTCCCCAGGTGATCCAAACATCTTGCCATTTAAGATAATACTTTCTACACCTGGATCTCCCCAGATGGTGTTAAGCATTATTCATCCAACAAATCTGCAATGGACAGAGAGAACTAATGTGTCAGTCAAAAGATAGGCTTTGACTCATTTAGTGGAGTAATTATTAGTGACAAGCAGTAGTGAAATAACTACAACTGTCTGCTGAGTTCTCTCTGAAGACACCAGTTTTGTTTTTCCTATGGGCAGTGCACATAGTATATACGATACTTACACAAATGCTTAGTATTTGTATGAATGTGGCCAGAAAAAATACACTTTCATACATTCACAACAGCGCATATCCCACCCCTTACAAAGTATCACTATTGAAGGTACATTATTCCATCCTATACTTGTAATTGGTTATACAAGTGTGATGTTTACAATTCACCTTACTGCAAGAAAATACTGCCAAACAAATTGGTACTTTCCAATACTTCTTGACTTTTCACCCACCAAATTCCCCACAGATCCCTGACATTCATTCATTCCTTATTAACAATTAATACTGGAGATGACCAAACATTCTCCTTCAATGTCCATTCAACTCCAGCTTTATCCCTGGTACTCCAAGTAAGCTTTCTTTGTGATTGTTTTATATCATCATTTTCTTAGTGATGTTATAATTATTGTGAAATACAATTTGGTCCCACAAAACTACTGTAAACTCCATCAGCAGTTCATGAGTTCTAATTCTTGTGTTGAGATAGATCACTGTTTGAACATCTGTTCTACCACTACAGCAGATACGAAGTTGCATGAGACTGCATCTGTAGTACACAAAAAAAAAACATTATCGGCGTGTCCTTCTCAACAATTATACTGTTCTTGATCCCAATCTGTTTGGTACTAAATGGTTTTACTGAAAAAGTTGTAGTTCACATGTTGCAAAAGCAAAACCAGTTCACAATTTCCACAGATAGTCTGTCTCTATGATATTAACTCTAAACCCATGTTCGAGATAGCTAGCTTTGTTTGGTGAGCAACATTGCCAAGATGAAGTTCACAATGCAGACTGCTGTATCCACCTGAGCAAGTGGTCAGAAGTAGTCCTAGACTTCAATAATTTAAACTAACTGGAGTAGATGCAGATATAGCTTGTTATTCATCTTCCAGTAACTGTTGTGGCATCTACTGAACAGTATTCTCACATGTTATTCCTATCTTGCAACAGGATATATACATTCCTGAAACAAGTAACCACAGATAAAACAGAGTCTTCTTCCTTCATGACATGGCACCTTCAACAGCCAAATTAATGTCGTTGATAAACTTGTTGTTCCATCTAGAACCATTTTGAATGTACTCCGATACTTTGCCGTCTCTACACTGTTATTTTGAGCCTTATGGGCTGTCATGTACTTTGTAGGTTTTAGGAATAGGCTTTGCAGTTGTAGTGCTCAATTTGACATGATAATTTGAAACTGCACCATTGTAGAAACTGTTTTTGTCAGAAATGAAATGTCACTGAGACCAATGTGGTGTGATGATGGTTCGTTCAGTAGCTCCATAATTAACATTATTGATGAGTATATCCTCAGCAGCAGCAGAGACGTGCTTGGGAATGTCTTCCTATGAATCTTTATTAAATCATCTACATAAGCAGTGAAATGTTTGTAGACCAGGGTAAGACCTATGGTGGCACAACTGATTGACAACTGTGTCTCCTTTATGAAGTTCCTCCATGTCGAATTGCTCTACCCCGAGAGCTGGACTTTTTATACTCAGCATAATGTGTTGCATCTCCTTTCCCTAAATTCATCAGTCTCTGGAATCCTTGAGGAAACAGTCCAAATCCTCCTTTAACACCCTCTTATCTGATTCATTACTATAATTAAATTATGGTGCAGGCACTGACATACACGTACTATCATCTTCTTTAATGCTACTACTGTGCTAATGTAATTTTGTATTTAGAAAAGGCCTTCATCCTTTTTGAAGAGTTAAAAGACGCGTAAATTCTGAAGAATATGGCATTCTACTACGACATTTTGGGATGTGCATTATCATTACATTTCATATTGACCTCAGCCACTAAAACTGGTCTAGGAGCATCATGCTATTTGCCAGCTAGGAAATATCTTGGCTGTACCAAGGATCTTGGACTATGGTGAAACGCTGGCTGCTCTACCTGATGAAACATGGATGTCATTACCTGGACTAGTTAGTAATACCAGCAGATATCATACAGTGGTAGCCAGTTTTCTCCTACCACTTATTAATCCCAATTGGTGAATAGAGAACACACATAATAGCTTTCATCTTAAACTGATGAAAGCTATTGGTCCAGAACAAGAAGAACTCTAATTCTTACCACATTCTCGAATGAATCTCTCATTTCACCCACAGCTTCCTTTTCTCCAGGTTAATTACTGTGCAATCTTCATAATCGTGATTTACAGGCTTTACAATCAAAGAAATAAAAAGAATATTTTAAATACAGAATCTCCAATTTCACATCCTTCGGTCAAGAATGTTACTGATAATTTAAATTGTGGATTTCGTGTATACTGATAACCGCCATATATATATGCAAAACGCAGGTTCAGGAAACAATATGTAAGGAATGATTTCAAACTCAAACGAAAACAGTGCACAAGTAGAATAAAATGATTATTCAGTTGACATAACTGGTGAAAGGGTTCAAGATATCAGAAAAACATGTAAGCTCAAGAAGTCTTGATACAAAATAATAAAAACCTTATAACCCGAGCTCTTTCGAAAAGTTGACATTTTTTCTTCAGGGGCGAATTTGTGAAAGGGTTGATGCTATATTCTTGTGAAATAAATTATTAATGATTTATGCAGTACTGTAGTTTAATGAATATGCCTTTTTATATAACATTCACAAAATGTTTTGGTTTAAGTACTTTGAAAAAGTGTTCCTCTCGTCTTCTTTTTAAGGCCCCAGGTGGATCAGCGGTAAGTTATTGGACCTGCAACTTTTTAATAGAGTTATATTTCTGTGGTAGACAGGATGCAGATAGCCCATTGTGTAGCTTTGCGCTAAAACAAACTTTTTTTTGTTTGGACATGTGGCGCTGTGATATTTTAGTTTAATTAAACATTGATATATTCGTTCGGTCAAGGGTAATTATTATTTCTTCGCTGAGAGACATACTGTTTTTCCATTGTTTCTTCCTCCATTTCTTCATTTTTCGGGGTATTATATTAAAACTTATGGTTACACCTTGGTTCAATACGCCCACATACCTTTTTCATTTTATGATTTAGGCCTTTTCAAATAAATTTATGGAAAAAAAAAGTCAAACAATCCAAAAACGTATATTTTGGTCTCCTGTGCATTAATATGTACAGCAAAGTGACAATTGGAAAAATTATAACTTTTCATGTGCCCAACACAATGACATACATAAAAGTTGAATTTGCCTAATTTCAGTCTTTTTAGGGGAAGGGAGGTCACAAAAAAGCATAATCTTGGGGTTTGGGGTTAATTACTCGGCCAATTTACATGAGATTTGGTACAAAAATACTTTTCTGCAGTCCCCAAACATTGACAAACAAAAATGGTAGACTTGCCCATTTTTAGTAATTATAGAAGAGTCAAGATGCCACAAAAAATCATAATTTTAGGGGTTTTTGGCAATTACTTCCCCGTTTTTCTGCCAGTTTACATGGAATTGTGTACAAAGTCATTTTTTTCATGTCCCATACATATACAAAAAAAATTTAGGATGTACACATTTTTGGTCATTTTATGGGGTTAAGAAGTTAAATGAACCCACAATTTTAGGGGTTTTGGTCAACTACTTAGCTTTGTTTCGAACAATTTACATGGAATTTGGTACAAAGCTACTCTTTGTAGATCACAAACAGAGATTGAGACTATTTTGAAATTTTTATCTTTTGCTCAGTTTTTCAGTGAGAAAAGTGTAGTTTTGGATTTTCGTGAACTATCCATGTGTACGTCAACCAACTTATATGAGATTTGGTACAAATATACCATTTCGCAGTGATATAGACAGTTTTCGGTTTTTCTATGTTTTTCATTATTTTTCTGCTGTCAAAATTGTCCATGCTGGGATTGCGTGACGCAAATATTTGTCTCTTTAATAATAATTAATTTCTTTAAGTCTACATTATTAAAAAAACGTAGTCGTAATACTTGATTTAACATGAATAGCTTCAATAAACTTAGTCGTAATACTAGATTTAAAATTAATAACCAAAACATACTCTTTTGTTTTGGCTTACTAACATCATTTAAATTATTGTGTTATTTTACAATTAAATGGTGACGTAATATTTTAGATAACACTAATAATGAAGTGCTACAGTTTATAATCTGTATATTGTTACGTCTGTGTTCGTTTGTTAATTTCCCGTAAAATTTTTTCCGGAGAAATTCAGCGACACAAGTCCTTTCTTAAATAAAACTAGTTTATTCTTTCTCAATACAACTTTACAATACACTTAATTTCCACAGTGACTTTCACTTAAACAAACGCTAGAATTCAAAACGATTCACGTACTTTACTTACGGCTTGACTCAATTATCTGGCTCCATATCTCTCTGCCTGCAATTCCAGTCCCGATTCATTGTCTGGCGCGCTTATATACAAGAATAGATGGCGCATAGAGAAGACTAGAGTTGCCACGAACAGACATGATCCTTCTGGAATCTCCAGCGTGCATGCGTCCAGCGTCGCGTGACTTCCGCTGTTGTAACAGAATCATACAATTAACACAAATGACTAATAATAATGAAAGTATTTGAGTTAACACATGTAGCTAATGCTTGTTGTTCTGTTATTTGTGCTAATACAAATGGTCATTAGTGGTTGAAGTATTATTTAAGTTAATACAAATGGTTAGTAGTGTCTGAAGTATTGTTTAAGTTCACATAGTTCATTAACAGTTACTTGGAGTATTGCTTGAATAGTTGTTGAAGTATTATGTGAGTATAACACTTATTGCTGTATTATTTAACAAGACTGGTAATGTTTTATAGATGAAAGTTACTTATGGAGTGAATTGCTGTTGTACCGTTGTATTATTTAACAAGGCTGGTAATATTTTATAGATGGAAGCTCGTTTATGTAGTAAATTGTTGTTGTACCGTTGTATTATTTAACAAGATTGGTAATGTTTTATAGATGGAAGCTCCTTATGGAGTTAATTGTTGTTATACTGTTGTATTATTTAACAAGATTGGTAATGTTTTATAGATGTAAGCTTCTTATTAAACCTTTCGATCTCAACGTTCACATCCTTAGAGTTTTCTAGCAGGTGTTCTAGACCTATCTTATTAAATCTTTTGTTGCTGTACCGTTGTATTATTTAACAAAACTGATAATGTTTAATTACAGATGGAAGCTCCTTATGGAGTGAATTGCAAGAAGACAACACAGACGTGAAGCTCAACTTTGAACAAATGGAAGAATTATTCTGCCAAAAAGCAAAACAGACAACTGAAGTAAAATCCAAGAAAGAATCTTCAGAGGTTAGATGTATTTTAGTGTAAACCAAAAGCAAAAACAAAAGTGTAATGAACTAAACTTTCCAAAAATGTTTAGAATATTTAACAAAAACCTTTAAACTAGGTTATACTGTTACGACAACGCAGGTCACGTGACGCTTGTATCACGCCACTTCCTTCTCGAACCTTCATGAAATGTCGAGAGACTACTACATTGGGGTAGTCTTATATATATAAGACCGGCCAAGAAACAACGGAAGAAAATGAGTAATTGAATGTATGCGGACAGAATATTGTTGGCCACTTGAGACATTCGTTGTGAGTTATAGCGTTTGTTATACAGCAACTGTTGAAATTAAGTGTATCGCGAAGTTGTATTCAGAAAGAATAAACCAGTTTTATTTAAGAAAGGACTTGTATCGGTAAAGTTTCTTTGGTAAGAATTTTTACGGAAATTAACTAACGAACGGAGACGTAACAATACTTTTAAAAACAAGCAAAAGCCTAAACTAGTAAACAAATGTTTCTAAGAATCAATAAGAACAAGAGAAACATATTAAATTCAGTTCTAACAACTTAAGTTTCAGTCATTTGGTTTATGAAAGATGCAGTCATTATCATTCCATGACAATCTGTAAGAAAACATGGATCATGTTATAAATTCATTAAGTTTGTGAATACAATATAGTCCATTCAACAAACTAATGCATTCTCATGGAAATAATTGGAGGTGCCCAAGGGACACAAGGGGTGAAGGTTATCTGAAATACATTGATTTACATTTAGATACCAACTTTGTTATTACTGAAAGTTACACAGACTGTTGTAGAATTGAATTTCAACTTTTGGGTCTAATAGACTTTTTCATTCTGCCATATCGAGGCTCGTCACTGCTGTAATGTCTACCAGGAGAGCCGAGAAGTTAGGCTTGCTATCAACATCAAGTTCTAGAGTGTCAGTTTTAACAGTAGTTGACTCACGAAGTATGGAAAAAGAAATAAATTTACACAAACAGCAAGTATTTAATAGCACTTACAGTTTTCAAAACAATACACAATACTCCACAATAAAACGAACAATAGGACCAGTGTATTGTGTGTGTGTGCGCTTTAGAATGAAAAGTGGGAGACTAGCATGTTGCAGTAAAAGTTTTAATAATAAATGTAACTCTTGCTATTGCGAGTTGTTCCTCCTCTAAGTTAAACTAAATAAAATAAAACTAAATGAAAAGAACTTCAAGTTAACTTTGAGTAAGTTACTATCCAACAAAGTCTAACTAACTACGTGAAATCCAAGTCCTAATTTGGATTTCATCAAAGAACTTTGCTTAGCGAACGATTGTTATAATACTGTTACGCCTCCGTTCGTTAGTTAATTTTCCGTAAAAATTCTTTCCGAAGAAACTTTACCGATACAAGTCCTTTCTTAAAAAAAAACTGGATTATTCTTTCTGAATACAACTTTGCGATACACTTAATTTCAACAGTCTCACTATAACAAACGCTGTAACTCACAACGAAAGTCTCACGCGCTCAACTCAACAATACTCTGTCCGCAGTTCAATTACACATTACATTGTTCCCGTCGCTTCTTGGCCGGTCTTATATATACAAGACTACCCCATATCTAGTAGTCTCCCGACGCTTCATGAACGTTCTAGAAGCGCGTGGCGTGTTACTAGCGTCACGTGACCTCCGCTGTCATAACAATACTGTTACGTCTCTGGTCGTTGGTTAATTTTCCGTAGAAATTCTTTCCGAAAAACTTCAGCAATGCAAGTCCTTTCTTAAATAAAACTAGTTTATTCTTTCTCAATACAACTTTGCAATACACTTAATTTCCACAGTCACTTTAACTTAGACACACGCTATAATTCACAACGATTCACGCACGTTACTTACGGTCACCACTGCTCGCTTGAGTCAGTTATCTGTCTCTATATCTGTTTATCTGCAATTCAATTAATTATCTCGCTTTATTTGCCTGCTTATATACTAAAATAGAGGGCGCGTAGAAAAGACTAGAGTTGCCAGGACGAGACATGATCGTTCTAGAAATTCCAGCACGCATGCTTCCAGCATTGCGTGACTTCCGCTGTCGTAACACTGTCCCTTCCTTAGTATTGTTCATCCCGAACAATAGCCACTTAAATTAAACCAATAGATAATTAACAATAACTTAATTAAATGTACATAATTTACAAACACAAAATTAAAATTCAACAAGGTCTCTTAATTTTACGGGACGTATCTTCTTCCGTACTGGTCTCCATCTCATTGTTCACTTCGTCCCAACTGAAATGTCCTGGACCGTGATAATGCTAAAGCCTATTGGCATGCACCACCTTTGGCTTACCTCGCCGACCACATTTTATTCGGAAAGTCACGTCTGAGAGACGATCCACTATGTCATATGGGCCTTCCCATGGAGAAGACAACTTAGGAGAGTTTCCTTTGGTCTTCCTGGGATTATACAACCACATCTTGTCTCCTGGTACAAAGCTGACTTCAGTAGACTTCTTATCATAACATAGCTTCATCGAAATAGCAGACGTTTTCAAGTTTGAATGCACTTGATGGTGAATGTTATCCATCCTTTCCGATAACACTTTCACAAACTCTGACACATTTTCAGGCAACTCTTCGTAAGGTGGGCGTCCTGTTAACAGATCCACTAGCAACCGAAGTTCCCAACCGAATGTCAACTTCGCAGGAGTGTATCCAGTGGCTTCAGTGGAGGGAGTAAGACATCCCAGTCATCTTGGCGGCTATTACAAAACTTTGCCTATTCATGTCCCAGTGTCCAGTTGTACTTTTCTACGATCCCATTAGACTGTGGGTGAAGTGGTCTTTCGTATGCCAAACAACTTGTAGCATTCATGGAACACAGCTGATTCAAAGTTACGGCGTTGATCTGAATGCAGTTTG